AAATTCAACTGAATTTGCTACGATTTTTCAACGAAACGAAGAACTGTTAAAATCTGAAATACTTATGCTTATTTATACTACTCGGTGCTCTATATACCTATATGCGTAAGTACTTTCAAATTTTTTTTTCTCATGCACTGAGTGAATAATGATTCAAAGATCAAACAACTGATTACTCGATAAGCAAATCTACTACTGACGTCAGTTAAAGTTGATCAGTCAATTGAACTCTAATTGAAATTAAATAAAAAAACCTTTTTCAAGATCTGAGTGAATTTTCATAGAACAAAATTACAGGAAGTTTAGTTACAAACATCTTTAGAAAAAGAATAAGTAATAACTTTCTCTCTCAAGTGATATCGTACGTACGACATCTCGAGGTCGACGTGCTGTGCGTTCTTATGGACGAAGAAAATACTCGTCGTCGGTGTATTATCAATGACTCCGCGCAACAACTAATTGGCTCGTCCGTTCGTCGGTCCGTCGTCGCTAGCTCCTCGGGGGGCTCGCTGTGTAGCAAATATAGCTGTGCGTGGTATTCTTCGTCGCAAAAACGACTGCTACTCGCCCCATTCTATTTCCCCGGTGCATTCCTTTATGGTCGCCGACGTCAACAACGTATATACATATAAGAAACTGTTTATCGCGTTTATATTATCACTCATGATAAATTGAACCTATGTACACGCGCGAAAAAGTGCGAATATAAAAGAAACGTCGGGCTGTACAGCAAATTAATTTTCCAATACGGCGGAAAAAATCTTATCCGATAGTCGAGAGAAATAATGAAAAAAATAAACAGAAGAAACAAACAAGCAAGATAAATGATTTAACCGAAGGGGAAAGGGTAAAACACAAGAATCTTGGTTTTACGAGAGGAATTAACTCGCGGAATAATCCGCTGAAAAGATTAACGGGCTAACGCGGAAGGGAAAGCCGTAACCTTCGTTGCTGCTGTTCTCTATGTTTTTTTTTTAGTTTATTTGTTCGAAAAAAGTATGCAAGAGAAAAAAGTAGTCGAGCGCAATATCGGTCCCTCGCTATCTGGCGATTTCCACTCGGAGTCACTTAACGCGCATTCGAGTCCACGGGGGTAGAAGAAGATCTGCACCTGTAAAACATTACCGCGCGCTTTCTCTTTGCAGGCGGTGGCCTGTTCGCTTATTATAACGGCATTACGCTTTATTCCCTCTTGAGAGCTGCTAGCGAAATGCGCGTTCTGCGAGCGCGGATATGGCGGCTTTCCTACATCTCCAACTTTTGTCGCTGCTGCTTCTCTCTCTCTCTCTCTCTCTCTCTCTCTCTCTCTCTCTCTCTCTCTGCTCAGCCACTGAGAAAGTTGCCTTGATAACGAAATTTTCTTTGGCGAAAAAGCGCTCGACTGAACGCTCTCTCCTCTCTCTCTTTCGCTCTTCTCAGTTCGTGTTATCTTGACTGGAATATACAGAAAATTTCATGATTTTTAGACGTCTTCGTTTCTTCGTTTTTTCTCTCTTGCTCTCACTCGCTCTCTTTCTCTCTCTTTATCTTTCTCTTTCTTTCCTATGATAACATATGGTGACGAAAAAAAATTTGTAGATTCAATATTATTTGAAGGAAAATTTTTACAAGTAATTGTTCAAGTTTTATCTCTCTTCAAACCTTTACTTACTAAATCAAAAACCTTAATCGACTTTTGTCTTGTTTAATTGATTTAATAATATTAAGTGAAACTCCCGTAAAAACTTTTGTGGATATACCGTGTAGAGCAAGAATTTTTTCACGAGCTTTAAAGCGTAATTGGTGGCACCTCTGAATTTACTGCAAACAAAGGTAGGCAGGTTAATCCATGGTAATCTGGTTACTATTGGAAGCGATGCGGGGCCCTTTGCTAAAAAACTCGAAACGTCAGTGCTTTTAAAGCTGTTACGCGTTGAACTGGCGATATTTAAATTAGATTTCCGTCTAGTTTCGGTTCTTTTTCCTTGCTCTTTGCTAAGTCTCCTTTCTCTTTTGGCTTTTCTTACAATTTGATACTACTGACTTACATTTCGATGAGTGTTTTTACGAAAATTGTACAATCTTTATATATTCTTTTAGAAAATTCTCTTTATATCTTATAAAAATATTTCATAAGAATGTTAATACATACTTATATAAGTAAAACTATATTGAATTAATCATGGGCATTTGTTAGCATAAATTGATTATATTTCATTATCATATTCATACTATCCTTGGCAATCTCATTGCCATAAATAAGAAAGCAGATACTACTTGCAAAATTCCATGGGAGAAACTTGAACAAAGTACAAAGATCTATTCAACAAGGCACGTAATTGTCTCTAAAGTTGGTTGAGAAATTAAATTAAATTTAAATTAAGCTCAATTAATTGAGCGGCTCTGGACAACTTTACCCTTCTCGACACCCGGCGACAAAAGCTAACAGACCTAATCTCTTTTAAATTAGTATTCCATCAGAAACAGCGTTCCGAACACACAATGGCCAGCCAGAAATATTAAATTCCAGTGGCAGAGAAACATTTCCTTAAAATGTTCCTCGACAGTACGGGGAGTGAGGAGGTGAGGTGGACCACTATTTACAACCGGCATAAACTCAACGTAGACTCCATTACCGCAGCGTTTTCGCTACCCCTTGGGTTTTCAGCCGTATATACACGGACATACACAACACACACGCATGCGCGTCTGCGCATATATGCACCACAACATATGCACGCGAAATTTCATGGGGGATTAGTTCTTTGCCACTGCAGGCTATTGCACGACTATATTGCACCCCGTGAGCGCGAGGCTGTAAAAGTGCAGTGTTTGATAACTTTACGATATTTGCAACAACGTGCACAGGAGAAAAATAGAGAAAGAACTCTTTCATTTGCACGATTGTTTTCGATATGTGTGATTGCGAACGACGTAGTAATCTTTTCTTCTTTTTAAAGTGTTTCGTAGGACGTGCTGATCATTTGACAATGCGAAATAATCGACTTATATAAGATCTCTGCTATCTGTTGGAGTAACAGATATTAACTGATTTAGGTTATCACTAACTGGTTGTTTTTGCAATTTCAGTAGCTTATCGGAAATCATTTTTCTGTCTGGATTAGACGATTTCGTAGTGTAAACTATTAAAACAAACGTTCTAAGATAGCTGAGATCACGTGAAAGAATTCACAATTGATTAATTTATCTTTCAAGATACCTATTCTGTTAAGTAAAGACTAATTACAGTAAATCGTTGAAACGCTTAAAATTCAAATGACTATATATATTTATATGATGTCGTTAACATCTTTTCAATGTCCTAGAATTCACCTGTTTTTTTCGCTGAGCCGATGTGTGCTTGTAAATTTTCAATATTGAATGTGGTTCTTGTCTATCTTTCCTAGGTTAATTATTTATCAACAGTATTTATACTTGTGCGCGATGTCTTACCAGCCACCGTGAAAAAGATATGAATTAAAGTTTTCCTCGTATAAATTATTCGCGGCTGAAATACATTCGTTATTCGCATCGAGCTTGCTAATATCGGAAATCTATCTACTTTCACCAAGTTTCCTAGAATACGACGTTATTTATTAATTTGAAAGAGATGCTGAAAAACTCGTCCATAAATATAGGTCCGCAGTGGAAAGTTTACTTTTGTGAGTTTGAGAGCTACTAAAAAGAGAGCGAGAGGGAGAAAACTACCAAACGCGCGTACACACACACACACAGCACACATTCGATGAGAGAACACAAGACAACTACAATTTCAGTAGGGAGAAATGTGCCGCGATATATATATATATATATATATATATATATATATATATATATATATATATATATATATATATATAACGCGCGCGCGCGCACACACACACACACACACACACACAAGCGCGCGCACACATCTCACACAGTCGATCTGTGCATGTGTAGGAATACACCAGACGTCTGCGATATTTAAGCAAGCAATTACAGTTCGTATCGTCTGCACGTGCAGCTAAGCGTATTGCATATGTGCATGGGTTAGTCGCATCGACGGCGACACCGTGCCTCGTTTGTAAAAATTGTTTGGCAAGCACCTGTGAGAAAAATCAAAGATACGGAGAGGAGTATAGGTTGCAATTAGAATTTCCAAGCTAGAGAGAGATGAAAAAAAAAATAAATGAGATCCAAGCACCACCTGCCAACATGAAATTCCAAAGCGCGACACTCTAGCTTTCAACAATTTGCGTTCTCTCTCTCCCTCTCTTATTTCACTATTTGCGAGGATTCTGTCGCGCGCACGCGCGTTCGTGTATTTTTTTCGTCTTTTACGCACGCGTGCGCGCGTGTATGTGTTATTGAGCTTGGAAAGGCGGAAAAATTTACATCCAGCGTGCCCGGGATTTTTCCGGGTTTTTATCTTTTGAGAGGATAGTAGGAGAGTCCTTTATTAATTTTTTACTCTGTGAATTCAATTGGATTTGCAGATATTGCGTCGTTGTTTAGAACTTCTTTTTCATACTCTTGAAAGCTCTGTAATTAAATTCTTTCAGTTAATTTACTACAAGCTCGGTATCTAGTTTTCTCTTTTAATTCTTGTAAAAATATCAAACCTATTTAAATATTTTTTTTTAATTTTCGCTAATTTAAAGTGTACAGTATTATACTTACTAACTAATTTAGTTGTTGCTTTTAACATCATCAGATAACTCTTTGCTTTTATAAATGTCTAACTTTATGGCTCCAATTTGAAAAATATATTTCATGTAGTGCAAAAATTAAAATAAAAAAGAAGCATATCTATCAAACGACATGTATCAATCGATAAAAATGTATTTTTACGGTAGGTTAAATAAATAACGAAACAATTAAATGATTTATTCGATTGAATAACCAAATCTTCCAACATCTACCTTACATATTACATACATAATCAATAATATCTTAAGTCCTATTTTATAAGAATAATAAATAAACATTTTTCCCGGTAGTCATTGTCTTAAATATTTAAATAATAACGTCGTGCCGTGGGCAAAAGATTTAATTGTGAGCACTAGTGAGAAACTAAAAGACATTTATTTTTTTAATTCTTAAATAGTCGACAAAACTAGAAATTATTTTCTATTTAAAGAATTTATTTTTTAACTACGTCTTCCATATGATACATGCATTTGTATTTTTCGATTGATAATAGAAATGTATTTATTGCAAATAATATGTGCCTGTTATATTTATTGTAGCTTCGTTATTTTCGTAACACATATTTTGAAGAAAAATTATTTATCTCCATGGTCCGATATTCCAAATACATGTTAATATCTAAAGTATACTACAAAAACATTAATTTAACATTAATTCTTTACAAAAATTTACAATACAAATAAACTTACAAACTATCTGTTTTTTTATTTAATTTTTTTCTTTTATAATGAGCAATAATAGTATACTAATACTGAGTCATGATAGACGACTATTAAAATAACTGATTTATTATGTTTCAAAGATAGTCTACTGTTATTGTGTCAGACTAGTATAGATGCACCGAAAAAATTCTTGTAAACCCATCAAATAAATATCAATGATTGATTGAACATACACTCACCTAACTTACCTTATAAAAATTTTATGATAACAGTCTGTCGTAGGCACGTGGTGTATTATATAGATATAATCGAAAAAGCGTCCGAATATATGTGTGCTTTATTTGTAATATTCATATCTCTTTATATTAATATATTGATAGTAAAATATCACGTCAAACAATTTCAATCTCAAAATTTTAATGAAGCCTCGTTTTAGTGTGTTAAATTTGTAATTTGTGGAAAGTACGTTATACGTATAGTTGTAAAATAGAAAAGTCTTAAGTATATTCACATTATGACATAAAAAGCAAAGCTCACTATAATGCAACTGCGCGCACGTTATGAATTGCATCAAAGTACCACTATATCACCAAACAATTGTTAGAATTCTTTTTTATACATACGTACATTCTATGGATAAATTGAAAAGTCATGTTTTAACATTGAATAATACAAAAGAGAAAATTATAAACAACATTTCAATATACGTTTTGTAGAGGAAAATAAATTTTTGAAGTATTTAACGATATATAATCATTTTACAAAGCTAAAATAATGTTGTTAAACAAGCATCAACAATGACATAATCTCACGTGAAAAGAAAATTCAACTGCAACATAAATATATAATTAGCAACAGTCCTTATCACGCAATGTATCAAATACTATGTCTTCACCTTACGAATAAAGCAATAACACCATCGCAAGAAAAATAGTAAAATGATATTACAGCACTTGACTATATAAGTGCGAGAATAAAATGTTTGCGTGGATATAAAAAGGCACATGATAGTAGTTTTTAAAAAGACATAACATGCTCGCATGTATATAAATGACGTTGGTGTTAATAAAGTCTTATCGGCGTGCAGCCATGCGTGTCGACTTAAAGCCAGCGACACACTAATCCACCATGTTAATTTTGCAAGCCACGCGCGGCTTCTGCAGCACTGTACAAGCGCGCATACACACACCCACACACACACACACACACACGCACACATGCAGAGAACCACACATATCTAAACACATTTGCTACTCCTGCGTGTGTGTGCGCGCGTGTGCGTGCGTGTGTGTGTATAACGAGTGAGTGAGATAGAGGCAAAAGAGGAAAAGAGGGGACGCCATGACCAGTAATGAAGCTGTGTATGTGAGAGGAAATAAGACAGAGAGAAAAGCGGCGGCAGTGACTTCGCGGCAAACGTTGGTCCCGCGACGATGTTTGCACGTTAATTGCCAACCCCTTGTGGAAAGAAGTGATTTAGTAACTCTCTCTCTCTCTCTCCCTCTCTCTTGTACGTGCGTTTATATATATACACATACACACGTACGTACGTACGTACGTGTGTATATAGAACATCTTATCTTTCAAATAAATGTTAACTACAACGCTTTGATATTCGCACGAGAAAAACATGTATTTGAGGATATCTTAATGAAATATATTAAAACAGAAAGAGAGAGAGAGAGAGAGAGAGAGAGAGAGAGAGAGAGAGAGAGAGAGAGAGAGAGAGAGAGAGAGAGAGTACATTCAAAGATTTACTTATTTTTTTAACAAGCTATAGATGTTTCTTTTTTTTACGAAAGTACAAAAATGTGCCAAAAACGGTGAATTGCGCTTGTGACATTTGCGTGATTTCACTTCGTTGATTAGATATACAGAATTAAATGTTTCTCATTTGTTGTTCTTTTCATTCCTTGTAGTATTAATTTGTGGCACTTTTATAACTTCCACTTAGTTTTTCGCGGAATCATGGTGGAATTTTCCGATTAAATAGTTTTCTTTGTGAGATAAGCCTTCTTATAAAAGTCCCAAAACAAGTAGAATATGATGAGAACGTTGGCCATGTAGATATAAGCTAGAGGCTTCTTTCTTGGTTCACATGATGGCAGTAGTGCTTGGGATGTATGGATTACCATTATTACGAATTGAACCTACAATATTTATTATTAAAATTAATTATTAATATAATAATAAAGACTTTTTATGTAAATTAAGAATTTACATTTAGATAAACAAAAATCTATAAGATAAATAGTAAAAATTTAACGATATTGATTTTTCCGATACATACTTATTTTACATTGATTTTCAGAGCGCATATAGCGATGAAAAGGAAATGGCACATAAATAGATACATAGCATCAAATGGTAAACATTTAATATTCACGCAAAATATATGCATAAAGAATACGGTGATGAGTTTCAACAATAATATTTTTCTCGAAGAATCTGCTATTGATCAAAAAAAGGAAGAAAACAAATGATTTGACTAGTGGTCTAGTTTCGCGTACCGTGAGATGAAGCGCCACAAATACATCTCTTTCTTGCTTGAGTGCAACGATGAAAAGTAAGTCGGGGCGAAAGAGAGAAAGAGAGCTTTCCAAGCTTTGCATTCTCACGGAAGATTTGAATTAAGCGACCATGTAATCCAGCGTTTCAAATCTCATCATCGACACTCGAAGCTACCGCGAGTTAGTCGCTGTCTTGCGACAAGAACTAACCAAGAAGCAGCGCGGTACACAGGCACAGAAAGTAAGAGAGAGAGAGAGAGAGAGAGGAAAGAGCGTAAGCGGATAAAGTCGAAGTGGAGGAAAACTGTCGAGAGCGCTCGCGGAGTAAGCAAAGGTGAGAAAATCTCGGTTCATCGATTCGCTCGGCCGCTTTTAAATCTGTCTCTCATAGTCCCTTGCCTACGGCTCACTGCTTTCTTGCTTGCTTGCTTGCTCACAGCGCCGGAGAGCAGAGAGACGCTTTGCCCAGCGTGACGTACTTCCTCCTGGCTAGTACGCGCAAAATTAAACGAGCGCTATTACCGTAACCCTATAAATCGTCGTTTGCCCTTCGATATTGCCGGAAATAAAAGATTCCAACCAAACGCTCCCAGCCGGATTATTTGATTAAAAAAGTGCGCCATGGCACCCTCGACAACCACGACGGTATCTCGACACACGTTCCCACTAAACCTAACACTACACCAATGTACGATATTTATACCGTCTGCGCACATCCACTGACCGCAAGAGAAAAGAATCACTTGGTTTGAATAGTACATGTCAATGTGCTTGATGGCGATTCTACAATTGTCGTTCGATACAGTACAAAAGAATCCTACCAGCTGTAGCATCGTCAAGTAAGGCTTGTATGGTGCTAGCTTCCTTTGTATCCTCGGTCCCAAACATGCAAGGAGGTAGTATGTGTACATTATCACGTGTACCAGACAATTCGGCATCATTATGAAAGTCCACATACCGCCTGCAACGCGTATAAATAATTCCATTGAATATATTAATCGCATAAAAGAGCAGTTATTTGATTTTCAAATTAATGCCATATTTTCAATTCCAGTATAGAACATTCACGGTCGACTGAATAATATTTTTAATTTGCAGCGCGGCTGCATTTATTATAGCAAGGATGACTGGGCACCTGGAGCGTATTTGCAGGCTATCCAAGCAAGAGCAACGGTAGTGACGTGATGATAAATGTGCAGGAATGAGCACTGATTGTATTTCTTCCTCAGGACGAAAATAACGGTGTCACCGAGTTCAGCAATTTTCAACAACATTATCCACCATACCCATCTTGCCATCTGCAAAATCGCGTTGGTACGTTTGTTATAGAAATCATTTAGCATTTTCAAAATCTATTGCTGAAAAAATTGTTACAATATTCAAAATTTACTTTATAGCTTGAAAATTGTTATTCAATGAATATAGAACTCCTCTTGAAAGATCCTCTGGTAATCAATAAATCAATCACGCAAACAAGGTAAAACCATATAAGGACAGCATTATATATTGTAGTATCACCTTCATCCCAACGTAGGTAAGAAATGTGCGAATTAAAGGATTTAATATACGTTCTTTAAAAAAATTATTATACTTACACTTATGGCATCTAGATTTAGAGAATAATCTACAGGCTCGCACCCCCATGATAATTTAGTTGTGAAACCAGATGTTAAAAGCTAAAAAATTCATAACTATGTCAATAGATTCAATTCTGCTTTTTTCGATTAATTGATTCTTTAATACGTTTATCATTTCAAGGAGAAACATTAACTCATTAATAATATAATATCTTAATTATTTAGCTTACTGTTTGAAAGAATTCACTACGGGTTAAAATCAATGATATCTTCACTACATTATACATTTATGTTTTCGATTCGTCTAAAGGATAAACCTGAATATTTAATGTTTTTTAAGAATTGAAAATTATAATATGTGCACTTACCCCGTAAAAAACTGCAGCGCTGCAGATGGCGATAGCAACATTGTAACCTATCATAAATTTATAAAGATTATATGGTTGACGATCTCGCAAGTACCTTGGACCCACGTGCAATACGAAAAGTAGATAAGCTAGTAGAATTATCAACACTGGAAATGGGTTAGCCATCATTGGCCAATCAACCACCCGTGGATCTATAAATAAAATAAATCATTTACTTCATGTTTTTATTAAAGTAACATCATGAAACAATAAGATTCTAGTATATGCATATATATATACACATACATTTATTCTGTAGGTATGTATGTTTGTATGTGTATCTGTGTGAACTATAAAAACAACAAATATTTTCACAATTGTCTAATTTTTATTGATTTGTAAAAACTAGACTGTCGACATTTCTTTTGTTTTTGTTAAGTACTAAAAACAGTCCTATATTAAAATACTAACATGGTTACTGTCGTACGACATACTGGAGATCAAGGTTTTCAGTTCTTTTAATTTAATTAATTGATAAAATGAAAAAATTTGGCCAATTTAATTGTCGACAAAGTTATTAAAATTCTTATAACTGCTTTTCAAGCAATGAATGTATTACACGTTTATAATAATTACTATTTCGTTACTTCTATTATCATAATTTAATTATATTATATATACTTTGAACTAGTTAGGAAAAAATATATGAAAGATAATTTTTTCAATCCTTTCCTTTTTTTCAAAATTGTAAACATTTATTTGCAATGCAGAGGTAGAAAAATATTTGTATTTAAGACAACTTATATAAGACCAAGTTTGAAATTAAGATATCTCTACATATTTATTAAAACAACAAAATAATTATAATAAACAGAAAAATGTATCTTTCTAATTTCACCTCGAGCAAGCATAAAATAAATAAATACCTCAATAAATTAATGTAATAGCATTGCATTAAATTGATTTCAAATCTTACAGTTTATCCGTTTTCTTAAAATAATTTTAAAAAATGTTTGATCTGTCACAACATTGAGCTATTATCTGTTTTTAATTGTTTATAATCATTATTCTGCATTATCTATTATTCTGCATTAACTTAATTTATTATATCTAATCGTAAGCAATTTTAATTTGTAATTTTATGGTATTCATAATTACCTATAATTAATTTTAATATATCAATCTTTCATAAATTACACATATCGATAAAAATATACTGTCGAAATTTGCTAAAAGATATAAAAATAGGCATAATTGACTTTATACTGACTGTTGCGGACTTTCAGTGGAAATAGGAGTCGGTGTTTGTTTATATATATTGATTTAATACCAAATAGTTTATGTAATATATTATTAATTTTATGTAATGATAAAATTAAAAGACAAAAATAAAAATAAATTAACATTTGAGACTAAACGAAAGAAATTTCATTTAATTACTTTACCGTAGTGGACTCTCTCAAAGCGACCAAAAAATTCATATAGAGAAAAAAAATATTATTTTTATCAAAATTTCATAAATTGACTGCATTTATTTAGATAAATCCCTGTTTCCAACAACTGATACAACAGATAATGCCGGCTCATGACTATTTGCGATTACAATGTAAATAATGAAAAAATTTTGTAGCTGTATTTCAAACTTTTCCAACAAATTCTGACGCACAGTGCTTAAAAACATTTGGTTACCGTAAACTTTCAATTTTCATGCAAATGATTGTCAAATAACTAGCGAGGTAATCTCACAATACACTTAACCACATTGATTACTATATAAATGAAGTATTCTTCATACAGTCCAATATTTGTAAGAACCGTTACTTCACGAAGCTAACTAAATCCATTTTACATGTCAAGCAATATATAATTTGCATATGTTAGCTAATAAATAATGAGTTATGTAAATGTATAGTTTTTTAATGATTTTTTCCTGTACTATGCAGAAGTTTTCCTTTGTTAATTTACCGCACTTGCAAGCTGTAATGTGTAAATTACAGTATGACATCGCAGTTTTAAGACGAAGCTTCCAACCGGTGAGATTAAGAAAAAATAAGTGCACAACGAAATTTTAGAGTACTGTAAGTAAAACAGATCTACATCCACTTATTTCTTTCATTAGTATTTAATCGCTGCATTAAGAGTAAAAGAAAATCTTATTAATAGGATATCGCATTTCTATAATTGTTCGATAATTTCCTAAATTCGTGGCCAATAATATAATTGAGCAGATTTTTTTAAATTAATTCACATTCAGTTTGTGTTCAATGTCAATAGTCTAGCAACTAAGATTTGAAATAAAAAAAAGTTAAAGTAAAGACAAAAACTTGTCGGCAATGAAGCAATGCACGCACATAAATTTGTCTAATGGACATTGATTAAAATGATTTTGTTATTTTCTCAAAACTTCTAACAAAAATTATATAAAATGATTATTTACAAATTACACGTGAAGCGTCGAATAAAAATAAAGATACTATGATTCAACCAAATTATTATAAAGAAATAAAAATAATGCAAAAATTTAATTTATTAATTCTTCATAGCTTTTCAAAGCTTTTCACATAGCTAAAAACTCCATTTATTTTTATTGTTTTTGTTACTTCAAATAACAAAATCAAGACGTTTAAGAGTGAAGTAATTCACTGTTTGGAATTTATTATCGATATAATCTGTCACTACCTCGGTGCATCAGTCAGTTAATTGCTCTCATCGGACCTATACCATTTAACGATCATTTACAAAGTAATTTAGATACAATAGCTGTCTAATATTAGTCAATTAATGAATGAATTAAAAATATATATTATAATCATCTGAATATATATTAGGGTAAAAAGAGAGGCTTTAAAAATATCCAAAATCCATTAGCAAATTGAAATCCATAAATAATCACGGTTCGATCGCGTGATAACTAAAATATCCAAAGTAGAATTTATTTAATTTGTGGCATACACGCATATGGTACAAAAGAGCATTCTAAACGTCAATAATCGTTAAATAGAGGTATGTATCGATGAGAGAGAGAGAGAGAGAGAGAGAGAGAGAGAAAGTCATTTAAAATCTCATTGCTCAATAGCTATAACTCACCTGATATTTCCTCCATGAGGTAGTGATACGCCTCCAGAGGCCCCATATCCTGTCGATCAGAAGAGACAAAAATAAATACGCACGGGCACACATACACGCGGCAGACGAGTAGCGGACCGTTGGGATCGACGAAGCCAGAAAGTTAAAAAAAAAGAATAGTCAAAATGACGTATAAAAAACCAGAGTGAAGAGCGAGAGAGAGAGAGACGTGCACATGGATGTGGGTCGTCGGGGGAATGGATTTCACAGTAAGCAAGTGTACGCGTAATGTGCACATGGAGCGAGTGAGCGCGAAAGAGAAGAGTGGAATCGGAGTTGACCCCTCGTCGGATCGTCGTCGTCGAGGGCCGATCGGGGAATGACAAGTTAACGGAAGCTAAAGCAGGTTGCAATCTCATGCGTCATATGGGACTTGGTGATGAGGAGAACCAATGTGTAGGTGCAGTCGAACGTGCTTCATGCTGAAAGACCAACACATTTGTAATGTACAAATAGTCCCGCGCGTGCTCTCTTAACTCCTGCATACATACATGTACCTTACTTTGTTTTGTGCCATTTGACTACTTTTTTCACTGCGCTACAAATAAAAATTACGCCTAATTATCTACTCTACGGTTATCTAAGATCATTTTACAAACCAGCCCACGGTGTTCAAGTTAATTAATTGTAATTTTCATGTACACGTGTGCACACCTGAATTTAAATATTATAATTATCAAACCATGTTATTATTAAGCAATTTTAATTTAAAATTGTTTATTGTAGCGTGAGAGGTTTTTTTATAAAAGGTGCTTGTGGTGGTAATTATGCACCTTTTCAAAAGAATGTTATACATATTTTCATTAAAAAATGGTATCAAAGTAATTAAAATACATATTTTTGATTATAATAACGCTTCAAACGATTATTAACTGATCTTTACACAAGAAAAGTGAATAAGTCACTTGTCTTCGTAAATGTTTTGTAACAGATGGACTAGAAATTTTAATTCACCTATCTCGTATTTTTGGAATTTCGATCTTGGCAAGCATCGAGCACGCAGGGTTCAACTTTAATTTTACTGATTTCGATTAGGCTTTACTTTTGTACTTTGCCCTACATGCAAACTTTCGTCTACCTAAAAATAACGTTAATATTGACTATATTTTAGTAAACTCGAATGGATAAGTAGAATAGCTGACTACGAGGAATTACGGAAGTTACATCAGATTATGTTTTAACAACGTCATGCATTTACTCGCTGTCGTATAATTTTATAAGAATTAGAGAAATAGAATAGGTACATGTACAGGCGGACTATCATTAAAATTTCAAATCTGCGATGCAAAGCCACGCACACTTCAGAAATGCTATAGCGAATGAGCTCAACGTAAGAATTACGTCTATGGTTAAAAAGGTTGTGCAACGTTGATTTTCATTTGTAGCCATTAAAGTTTGATTTTCAATCAGCATGTCGCAAGTTTCGCGACTGTGAATTTCGTAACTTTTATATACGCCAGATGCAAAGCTGAAAAAATAAGCCGATTATAAAAAGTGCTTGATGCAGTTCGCCTCGAAAGTACGTGCATACATGGCGAGGATCCGCGATATCGATTAGCTTTCTTTATTGTTTTGGTGCATATTCAATGTTTTACTATGTATCAGCGAAGCAACAGTGAAATAAACATGTAAAATATTTTTTCTCTCGCGTCATGCGTTAGCAGGTACATTTTTTTCAATGTTAAATCGTCGTAACCGATACGGATGTGCTCTTTAAATCCATTACGTAATACTCGCGAGCCTTTATTACAATATATTGTAAAAAAATATTTACACATCGAACGTAGTAAAAGTCAATTTAAATTCATACGACACGTCAGAATGATAGATGTACTTACCTGTCGTGATGAACATTTAAATTCCTTGAGTTCGTCCAGAATTCAGCCGCTAAAAAGAAGAGCAGTGAAGCGTAAAATAGTTTTGTCTCTCACACTAGTTTTCCTTCTGTTGCTCTATAAATAGGGTTATCTCGTCATCGGAGGACTGTCGATATACGTTATAGTGTAGCAGTTGCGATCGTTAAATTCGATTGGTCGCTGCAAATCAATTTGCGAATGGACGCGCACGCGACAAAGACACAGACAGGCACAGTGAGCAAGTAGGACGATCGCAGCGTCAGCCTCGTAAAGGATTTATTTAGCAGCTAGTATCGAAACGCACACGAGCAATAATAGAATCGACGCTGCAGCAGGTAAGGTTGCTTTGCGACCCAATGTCTTCGCAGGAGCGATGGCAGTCTACTGTTCAAGTTACGTTCATCTGCAGGGCAAGCACCCCCGATTGTTGAGGCTTACTTGCAGGGCCGTAACTACGTTAAGAACGTCTCACGCGCGAGAGCGTGACGAGGAACGTTTGCACGTGTTGCCACTACGCTCCCTCTCTCCCTCCCTCTCTCTCTCTCTCTCTCTCTCTCCGTCGTTCCTTCTTTTCTCGCTTTTGCTTAGCAATTCACTGCAATGCCGCTTTTTCTGCCGTTATCCTTCTTTTTTTCTCACTCTTTCTACCGCAGTGCTTAAAGATTTGGAACGCTATGCACCCAGTTAAATTGTAAAACGCAATATTTGATCGATTTTTTAAACGTTTCTTCATTGACGGCTCGTTATTTTCAACTAGTAGTTTACGAAAGCGCGTCTGAAATTTTGTGCATTAATGAAGTTTCCCTTGTTTAAAAGCGTAATCAAACTGTTTAACTTGAAAGAACATCGTAAGTTTTTATGTTTCACAATTAAGATGCATGTAGCTACAGTTATATTTATAAATATTTAAACGTCTTTGTAGTGTATTTTTTCATAGCTTTTTGAACTGCTCGCTTCTTGATGAGTTATTGGAGGATGAAAAATATGAATTTTAAACACGAAACGGTTTTCATTTGAGTATTTTGCTAAATTTGAATTTCAAATATTTACCGCGAGCCATCATATTATTCAAATTTAACTCGAACATAGTTAAGACTTTTAAAAACAGTTATTACTGATCAATTTCCCTCCGTAAATCTGTCAGTTTAGATTAAAGCAGATAGGTATGTGGAAGTTGTTTGTGTCTTTCCGAATATTCAAATCCTGATGTAATAGCAGACAATCCTTTGTCAGTCTTGTATCTCTGTTATTAAACAATAAAGAGTAATCACATTTAAAAGTGGCTCATGGAGCAAAGATAATTGAATCGCGCCTCGTTACAAAATTCATAAGCACGAATATAGACCAGTAAGTCATCGTCTAGATAAAACCAGATATTCATTAGCCAGAAGGCTTCATAAAAAGTAACCCAATATTTGCGGAAAATATACAAAAGTATAGTTCTCATAGAATATATTTGTTGAACATGCACATAAAGTAGGAGTCGAAAGAGATGAAAAAATCATAGCTTCGAGAAAGCGAATTATGAAAGTATGAGTGAAGACGTGATATAGGGCTAGGGAGAAAATAATAAGAATGCCAGCCCTGCATGCATGCAGTAAACGAAGTGTCCAGCCATGGTAGTGGCTAGCACACGCGCGGGATTGTATGTTGTGCGCGCGGACGCGCGAGGCATGGATATACGGCTTCCCCGGGTGCTGTCATTTGAATCAGGATTAGCAGCGCGAGCGTCATATAGTGGGCAGCGAGGGAGACGGAATGAGTGATCTACGTCTATACATGTCTCTTGCCTTCCTGTCTAAAGTCGTACTCTACGTATTTGTATACATGCAAATGCGCGGTAAGGGATAAGTACGTATTTCCACCGCCCTCACACGCCGTGAATCAGAAATTTAGTAGCGTTTACGAAGTGCTATGTTATTTATCGATTTACCTGCGATTTACACGTCGCCAGCTAGGCTACATCAGTTGCACGTTATTGTTGCTCGTCTTCTTGACCCGAGAAAATACTACAGTAATTTGATGCGTATGGTAATCTGATCCTTACCAATTGATGGTTGTCAAAAAATATTTAAACAATCCACCGAGAACTTCTGGCTTATTTACAATTCACATAAACTGAGACAAAAATGATCCACGCAAATTCCAATGCTGTCCATCTTTATTTCCATAATTGTTTCTCGATTTAGTCATGATCATAACTTTTCAAATGAGGTATTCAAAAGTATTCATTGAAAAAACTATTTTTGATTCGACAGTATACTTTCCATCAATAATAAAATAAACTATATTTCAATTACGTCTGGATAAATTTTTCCCGTGGTTGAATATTACTGAAAGCGCTTTTTATTCAATGTCACATCAATGTTAGGATTACATTTTTTTCATTTTTATATATAAAAAATACTCGAAATAAAGTTCTATTGATTTATTTAACTATTTATCATTTATTAATTTAACTAAATTTATTATAGATTTATTTAACTATTTGAAGAATGAAACAACAGATATGCAAAGTAAAAGGTTGTGATTGTTCTTGGTCAACTGAGAGTCATTTCTGAAGTAATTCTTTACGCATAATTCATATCAGAAGTCAGAATTTATCTATCACGTCAGATTCTTTTAGATAATTAATCGACAGAGGTAAAAAAGGTCGTTTTTGCTATATTTGAAGTCCCGTAACATTGTGAAAAAATTTTTTCCCTATAAAGAGGAAAAACTATCTGAAAAGTCTATATTTTTACTCTTCAAAATACATTTTCAAGATTTGAGATATCTTTTTTTCATCGAGATATTGTTAAGTGAAGTCAAGTACTTTAATATATACTATATATGCGTATCCAGAAAATTAGCTATTTGGAGACTTCTAATATACTTCAATAACATCCTTTTCCGACTCTTCTAGTTAAAATATCTGAAAAACCTGACGTGGTGGATTAATACTAGCTTCGGATTCAAATTCTACGTAAAAAATTATTGCAGAAATGACCTTCAGTTTGTCAAGAATAAAATTATGCAAACCTGTGTTATTGATTTAATGATCAACTGTTACTCTTCAACTTTAGAATTTAATTTGATCTTAATAATTTTTCACTTTTGAATTTTTGTAATACATCTTATCGTAAAGTCCAGGGGGCCTATTCTGAAAAAAAATTTTGTGGTAAATCAGTTTGTCACTTCAGTTTACCACAGAATTAATCACTTTAGATGTGATAAATGCTTATGACATGTGCTAAAATTTTTTTTCAGAATAGGCCCCCAGGGTCATTTTTTATATAATAGAAAAAACAGTAAACTTTATTATCCACTGTAGAGAAGACGCTTCGGCAATTGCTCTGTTGATAACATCAACTTTCTGCTCCTATATATATATGTTTTCTTCTACTGCAGTGCCTGAAAAATTAGATTTCTCTGTTACCAATACCCTTTTTTAAATATAATATTTTAAGTATAACGTATCGATTGCAGAGCATGCCAACATATTTTCCAATAAATTTAAGTTATTAATGCAGCATTCTATGTTTTTCATATTTAGTTTAAGTTTTGTTAATATATGTTATCAAATTTTATTTCAAATATATAACTTCGCGAAAAAAATATTTTGATAACCATTTTGAACGTTAGGTATTCTAAAAAAAATATAAAATCATTGTTATACAATGTTGTAATACAATATTGTATACAATATTTCAATTTAACTAATACAATATCATAGTAACTTAAATTACATGTAGATAATTATTTCCGATGATGTGAATATTTAACCAATAATTACAAATCATACATTGATTTGTACCTATGTATATTGTTATTTCAAGTTGAGAAAAAAGCAATCAGAAATCTGGAAACAATAATTTAATATAATGCTTAATAATGATGAATTACTGTCTTATATCTTTTAAAATAAACTAATACTTTGAAATTTGTACTATTACTTTGTACTCTATGATGTTGATATATATTTTTATAAAATTCTCATCGAAATACTATAATATTTTAATAACCCGAGCCATTCCCGGAATCCCATACACAAATAAGTACAGCACATTTATAAAATATGTGACTTTATTTACTATAACTCTCACAATACGATTTTAAAGTTAAGCGACGACTGATTAAACAATAATAATGCGCAATCTGCCTGGCAACGCTTCTTTCTTCTGTTTTTCGCATTCCATTGATGACGATGGCCTGATTTATAACATTACTCCCTCGACCAGACAATTTCGTACCAGACAAAATTCGGAAGAACAGTCTTCTTTTTCTAAACAGGTAAACTGTCCCGTCATTAAAAAAAAAAGAAATTAACCTCTTCTAAATCTCATGAGTGAAAATAAAGTGTTCTTCAAGGCAGTTGATCTTCCTCACACGGCCAAAGGGCCCGTCTCTTGAATTGATTTATTTTGACTCAAAATCATCATTCAATTGATGAGAACATCTTCTCTTCAATTGGGTTCCTTTGGAAATCGGCCAAAACGCCCGTACTTTGGATAAGTTCCTCCTGACTCAAACCCGTAATCATCTTCATCATCGTATCATACTTTTGGACAAGAATGGGGAATTGACACGATCCTTACCTCTGTCCCTGCTTTAACATCCGCCCTGCGGGTCACGGGAAAAACCACGACTCAAAAGAACTGTGAGCAAAGAAGCAAGATCGTCACATTTATTGCAATTGCCAGCCGATCGATGAAATAGAATCTTGTTTCTTCAATCAACCAAAACTTCATTATTTACTTCAAAAAGAAAATATCGCATTAACCAACAGACCGGCGTATCATTATTGTAGACAGCTTCCAACCAACATCAAACACCTCTTAGATCTGCAAATTCGAATAATAGTGAGAGCGAACAAGTTTAACGATGTTATCAGTCACTAGCCTCGCTAAGATCCTATTTAGCTAAGTTACGTGACTCGCGATAACTGAACCTAGGAAAATTTGACTACCGTCGACTATGCTATAGGTTACCAGTCTTGCCGAGAGCTCATTACAGATCTGAGTGAGCAATTTGTGTCAACTCAGTCAAAAGCTTCTCGACTCCGACTGCCCTTTAAAACTTAATCTGTCATTTCTCATTAAATAGCGAATAATAATCTCTTCACAAAATCTCACTAAATATATAAAAATTGATTTAACTGATTTACATCTCTGCTGAAATGCAATTCTCAGAGTAACGACGTCACTGCATATTGTCAGCTCCTGTAGATTAGTACAATGAATCGCAGCCGAAGAACGTGAACGTATCCCAGCTCAGTCCCAAAATGTAACAACCCCGTAATACTATATACAAATAAATAGAACATATTTAAAAAAGATGTGAATTTATTTACAATAACCCAACCCTAACGATACGATTTTAAGTATAAACGACAACTGACTAAACAATAATCATTTAATACGTAATCTCTTTGGCAACGCTTCTTTCTTGTATTTTTTGCATT